ATAACGTGGGCAGGCAACTGGTACTTGCCATCGACTTGATCGAAATCACTGGGTATGTGAGCAAGAATGCCAAGTAAAGCACCTTCAAGGTGAGCACATTTAGGTATGAATGCCATCCACCCAAACACCTGTGTCCACCAATGAGGTACGTGGATCATGGCAGACAGATTTTCATGGAAGTGTACAGTGGGACTTTCCGGGCTTCGAAGATCAACGGTCTTGAATTCGTTGAAGTCGTCCACGAGAGCGATCAAGGGGCCTTGATACTAGTTAGTAAAGATGGAGTGCAATTGTTAACAAATACGCACGCATTTTCATTTTCAGCCGTGGTGCTGTGCAACTCTGGAAAATAAGGCTCACGCCGGGGTGCACTGGGAGCAGCCATGTCCCAAGGCGTAACGCTAAAGTGCACGATGAATTGAGTACGGTGAAATACGCGAAAATCGCAACGCTTACAGAGATGGATTGTCCATGTAGCGTTTAGCAACTAGATTTTCTGACCTCAATGGAGTCCGTTGATGATAAGTTCGTAATAATCGAGACCTTATTGCGTTTGAGAAAGCAAATATTGAACCCACAACAGGTTTGGTATAACCAAGATGCTATCGTGCTAATCTGAATGCAAGAACCAGGACAGAAGATAGGTTTGGTATAACCAAGACGCTATCACGCCAGTCAAGTTGACGCTTGGATCGGAGAGATCTCAAAAATCAATTGGAGTCAAAGCAGCCGTCTCGTTGTGACCGTCGAAATATATTATCCAATGATGCAAAGACCTTGACAGAAGATAGGTTTGGTATGACCAAGACTCTATCACACTGGGCTTGAAGGTTTGTACAGAGGATCAACGAAGCAGTCGTTCCGTGGTGAGTTTGCGAGCCCAGGTTCAATTGCGAGTGGCATTTGACTTATCTACGATAATTACATAATAAAGTTCAACTTTACAAAAAAGTACGATATGGTAGGTGCTCTGTAATAAGATAACCAGGAAGAAACACGGAGAAGGGGCCATGTTGTGAACGTGCCACGGCGATGGGGTGGGTGGGAAACAAAGCAGGGGAGTTTGGAACGTCGTTTGGTGTGTAAACGACGTTCCACGGCGATGAGTTGGGTTAAACAAAGCTGATGGGGTGGAGACCAGCCAACGCCTGCGGCAGACAAAGCAAGTGGGGTTTGGATGACGTTGTTGACGTCGTCAACATGTAGCGGCGTTGACGACGATGTTGATGGCAGCATTCACGACGTTGTTGATGTCGTCAACATGTAGTGGCGTTGATGACGTCGGGGCTGGGGACGGCGACGACGTTGACGAAGCAGGTGGGTTTGGAACATCGTTCGGCGTGAAAACGACGTGCCACGGCGATGGGGTGGGGCAGACAAAGCAGGGGAGTTTGGAACGTCGTTTGGTGTCTAAACGACGTCCCATGGCGATGAGTTAGTTGGGTTAAACAAAGCTGAGGGTGTGGAGACCAGCCAACGCCCGCGGCAGACGAAGCAAGTGGGGTTAGGATGACATTGTTGACGTTGTCAACATGTAGCGGCGTTGTCGACGACGTTGATGGCGGTGTTGACGATGTCGGGGCTGGCTGTAAAATACTGGATTTACTCCAGCGCAGTATGCGGGGGCGATGAGGGCTGTGAGGCCATTGGGGGAGAACTGCAAGTGCAGATTCTGCACATCTATTCAAACTAATCAGTGAGTAGGTAAGTTCAATCGATAAAACAAGAATACACGCACCTCCCAGGGGTAAAGCTTGCCAAGCCTGTGGTGAGAGACGAGGTTGATGGCAGCATTGATGGCATTGACAACGTTGACAGCATTGACAACGTTGACAACGTTGACGACTTTGACAATGTTGATGAGTTGACAACGTCAACCAACGCACTGCACCACTCCTGGCCCCAAGACACCCAAAGACGATGTATCGTCTTCCGCAAATCCGCCAAATGTCACCCTCAGGCTTCCAGAAGCCTTCCACCTCGCCATGGCGTCGAGACGATGTATCGTCGTCCGCTAAATGCCCTCTGTAAGCGTGGGTTGTGCACAGATGTCGGATGCCATTCATTGGGGTTGAGAACCTGCAAAAGAAAAGAATGAAAAGATTTGTTATGTGTTTCAGGATACTAGGCAGGAAGAGGTACTTACCCTCATTTAAAGTCATCACAGCCCTGCCTTGCATCGACGCAACATATCGACGTCCACTAATCGTTATCTGGGCACGACATAGTCCCCCCCAGGGCTCGTTTCTCATTTTCGGTCGACGTTGCGGGCTGGAACGACTATGCGCCGTCATTTTTTGAAGATTTGGCAAAGGGGTCGACATACCTTCTTCGTTCGATCGCTTCCTCGCCTCACCACTTCTCTTCCACCTCTCCAAGGCTCGCCACGACATATTAACGTCCGCCAAATGCGTTTGAGATGTCGTTGATTTGGCCAGATGCGGTAGCTTTCGGATACAAGTAAGTTCTACATTGCTTTGAGAGCTGATGTGATTACTTACATCATTGCCGCCTTCCAAACATTTCCAAGCCTTCTTCGCCACATCACCAACTGCACCCTAGCCGCCTTCAACGCAGGTTCATCGCAGATACTGTTGATCTTCAAAGTAAGTCGTTAATTTTGTTGTTGCGCGAGTACTCATGGGCTTACCTTGCCACGTTATTGCCTTCAACTCAACTTCCGAAAGCCCGACACGGCGTATCGACGTCCGCCAAACATGTTGGGGACGTCGTTGAAAGGTGAACGGCGTGTCGTGACTAATGCGACCAGCCGTGGCTCGTAGAAGGGTTGGTGGGGCTACGTGGCATGGCAGCAGAGTATTGAGCGGCCGTTGTCACGTGGAAAAAGAACCCCATGTCGAAACGGAATGAAGGAACCTTCTTGACGAAGAGGAAGCCGACGAAGGCCAATGAATTGTCTGCTTTGCGGAGGGGGAAACAGGCATATCTGCTTTGTAGTCTCTGCAAAGGTGATGAGCATGGAAGAATGGGAAGGGGAGGGGGACGTACATGGCATCAATGGCGGCGTCATTGAGAATGTGATCTGAGCTAAGAATCACGGTGTGGATCCCGATTGCCTACATTCTCTGATCTTGAGAGGTTCCGGTAATCCGTCCATGAGCGGTAGCTGACGCCTTTGTAATACACGTGTGTTCCGAACTCGCAGCAGAATACTTGGAATGGGAGGTGCTGTCCGTAGCGGATGGCACCTTGCTTGTTGTGGGAGGTACGGCGTCTGGCTTGGAGGAAGATTTTGATTGTCTGAATTGATCACCTCCGATGTCACGCGTTCGCCATCTGTGTATATGCATGTTAAATCGCACAGGTCTGAGGGTTTCCATCGAATCGTTGGAGTCGTAGTCGGGCATGGAGACGAAGAGGTTGTCGGTTCGAGTCTTTTTGCCATTTCCCCGATAACGGCGAGCTGGTCGATGAGGAAGTGGTCGGCTGAGCGTATGACGATGGCGATGTAATAGAGATTTTCGCGGTCATCGTAGGCGCCTTCGCGTTTGTTCTGGCCAAAGGGACGTGTGAGTGTTGGACATAGAGCGGCCACCCAGCCGTTGAGTGATAGGAGTTGGTCAATGGCGCTGAGGATGAGCTGAGCGTCTGTGGAGGCGGTATGATACTGAGCCGTAATTAGGAGGATGACCTGCAGACTCAAACTGACGTACCTTATCACTTAGCATGTCCTGGCTCCGTTAATGCCCCCCCCAGAACTTCGAAACGTCGCCGTTACTCATTTCCAGCGTTGAGACGACGTATTTTCATCCGCAGAACCAGCGTATGCGTTCCACTTTGCGTGCTGAGTACTTTGAAAGGGTTAGTTTTACCTGAGAAGTTGTGCAAAAAGAGAATATGATACTTACTCCTGCATGAAAGTGCCAATCTGACACTCAACCTTTGTATGCATTACTTTTGCCTTGTTCGTCATTGAGTAGTTGGACAAAATCTATGACATTTTGTTAGCCGAAGACTTGGGTAAAAGATATCGTGCTACTTACGTGGCAGAAACTGCTCGCTGCTGGGCGCGTTTGTGTGTGCATCGCATTAGACCTCCCAGGGGTAAGGCTTGCCAAGCCCGTGGTGAGAGACGAGGTAGATGGTGACATCGACGACGTTGACTGTTGGTTGACAACGTTGCATTGACGACGTCGACGATGTTGCATTGACGGCGTTGACGACGTTGCATTGATGGTGTTGATGACGTTGCATTGACGACGTCGACTGCGTTGAGGACGTTGACGACGCATTGACTTGAAAGCGTTGAGGACAATTGACGCCGTTGAGTGAGGACGTTGACGCTGTTGACTGAGGACGTTGACGCCGTTGAGTGAGGACGTTGACGCCGTTGACTTGATGGCGTTGACGACGTTGTTGACTTCAGGGCCTCGACCACGTTGATATATTCTCGTGCCTTGGAATGACGCACATTCGTTTCCCATCAATGCGATCGGGAAACGAATGTGCGTCATTGAAGGCACGAAGTAGAGCTGCGACCGACGAAAAAGACAGTCCCATCAGTGTGACCGATCTGTGACCAGATCCCGCCAAGAAAGGGTGAGGCTCAGCTTACAAGTTCCAAACAAGTTCTTGCCTCGGCCACTTGCCCCGATCCCTTGACTGATGACCCCATCCCTCTTCTCATCTTAGGCTGTGGTATCTAAGGAGGCAGAACGTGCCCCGTCATCTTATCTCCACGTCCACCAACTATCTCCGGCATCAACAAGGTTTGGCAAGTCCTCCCTCCAGAAGACCATACCAAAAATGGATTTACTCGGTAAGTTCTGGCTCGAATTTCATGTTCTTGGGCTTGATTTGACGCTGACTATTACAGGAAGCGCCTCCCAAGTTTACGAAATGGACCGCCCATCCGTTCAAATTTCAGTTCTGCAGGAAAATCGAGTCTATGAGCAGAAATTGAGCTCAACAAGTGAGTTCTTACTCGTATTTTATGTTCTTGGGCTCTATTTAACGGGAATTACTTCAGGAACAACCTTCCGAGTTTGCGAAACATCGCGCCCAACCGTTCAAAGTCGGTGTTCGGTTTTGCAGAGAAATCAAGTCTTTTACCAGAAAATGAGACCAACAGGTAAGTTCTTGATCGGTTTTTACGTTCTTGGGCTCTATCTAACGAGAATTACTCCAGGAACGACCACCCGAGCTTACGAAACATGACGCCTAAGCGTTCGAATACAGTGCTCGATTTTGTGGGGGGGGAATAAGGCCCATAAACAGAAATCAAGGTTGACACGTAAGTTCCCACTCGTATTTTACGTTCTTAGGCTCTATCTGACGAGAATTACTCCAGGAACGACCTCCCAACTTTACGAAACATGGCGCCCAGTTGTTCAAATTCTGCGGCTGGTTTTGTGGGGGGGGATAAAGTCCATTACCAGAAATTAAGACTAACAAGTAGGTTCTTTCTCAATTTTAACGTTCCCGGGCTGTACTTAACGGTAATTACTTCAGAAACGACCTCCGGAGTTTACGAAACATGGCGTCCAACCGTTCGAACTCAGCGTTTGGTTCTGTGGTTCTGTGGATAACCAAGGTCCATCACCAGAAATTCAGGCTTAAAAGCAAGTTCTTACTCAAATCTTATGTTCTTGGGCTCTACCTGACCGGAATTGCTTTAGGAACGACCTCCCAAGTTTACGAAACATGGCGTCCAACTGTTCGAACTCGGTGTTTGGTTCTGTGGATACATAAGGTCAACCACAAGAAATTGAGGATAACGACTAAGTTCTTACTCATATCTTACTCTTTTGGGCTCTACCTGACCGAAATTTCTCCAGGAACTATCTCCCCAGTTTACGAAACGTTGCGTTTAACCGTTCAAATTCAGCACTCGTTTTTGTGGAGAATACGGTCCAATACCAAAAAAGTAAGCTGACTGGTAAGTTCTTACTTGAATTTCATGTTCTTGTGCTCTACCTGACCGAAATTGCTCCAGGAATTACCTTCCCGGCTTACGAAACGTGGCGCATAACCGTTCAAACTCGGCGTTTGGTTTTCGTGAGGAAATAAGGTCTCATACCAAACAGTTAGGTTGACAAGTAAGTTCATGCTCAAATTCTGCGTTCTTGGGCTCTACTTGACACCAATTACTTCAGAAATCTTCATTATCAATAAGCAGTAGTTATGCAGCAGTATAGCACCCTGATAGCGAAGAGGAAGATGATCTTGAGGGCGACGTTGAGTCTGAAGGGGGCAGTGGGAACGAGTCAACAAACAACGAATCAACAAAGGCAAAGGCAAAGAAAGGCAAGTACAAACCTGGACGCAACGATATCAAAGCAGCACACAAGACCAATGTGATCGCGGGAACACCCTCTACAAACACCTCCAGCTCAGTCCCTCAAGAGAAGGAAGCTAGTAGCCGGTGAGTGGTCACGTTAGTCAGAGCGCTCTCACTAAACACGTACCCAGCGCACCACCAAAGAAGAAGGCGAAAAAAGATATCGCAGGTATCGCCGCCGACTGGGAATCACGCCGCAAACCGGTTTCTTCAACGGCCGCTTCGACTAACGACATCGATAACGATTCCATGGTCAGGCAGGGGGGTATAGCGAGTGATGGCGAAGGCGACGACGTGGAACGAAAGGCGATCGCAAATGACCGTAGTGCACCCAAGAAAGTTGGTAAGAAAAAATTGGTATGTTCTATTCATCTATTAGTATATGGGTTTTAACTACGATGAGTCCACAGCCTAACATGGTGAATATCAGCTCCATCACCACCTCCCAACCTACAACCAAGAAGCAGGCTCGGGGAGGTCACGCTCGATGGACGCTACAACACCTTCCAGCTGGCACGGACAAGAAGTTCACAGAGCACGTCGTCCCTCTTGCAAGGCTGAAGGCGGGGACCATCACTCCTTGGGCCGGGCTTGACCACGACCAGGTTCAGAAGATCGTCGACGACGTTTTTGGAGAAGGTGAGCATGTGGTCAAGGAAGGCGATGCGTGGTGTGGCCTGGCGAGTATTTTCCTTTTGATATGTTTTCAACTCAACCTGTTGTCCTATAGATTTCGTCTCGCCTCAGCAACTGGCGTAACGGATTCGCAACGTCGGCCGGCGAGGCATTCGACCTTTTCAAGAAACAGTATGCCGATGACCTCGACACTCCCGAGGAGATTGCGGAGCTTATCAAGGCATACCTCACAACCAAAGGTGACCCCCCGCACTTTGCGTTCTGGTGGCGGGAATGGGAGGAAGATGAAGAAGGGAAAATTCGGAAAAAGGTACACTTGTCCATGCCATTTTACCTCCTATCTACTTACACGATTTTGAAGGGTATGTTTCAAAACCCGTTGATCATGTACACCCTCGCGCACGCCCATTTTATTGAGTACGGCGACGACATACAATCTCAGCTCAACGAGGACAACAAACCTGTCGGTGCCATAATTCTCTCCTTACAAGCCGTAAGTACAACATCATCAGCCTACCGCGCCAACACTGACATCTTTTCTCTCAGGTTGAACATGTACTTAGGTCCTGGCAAACGGGGACACGCGACAGCAGTGGCACAGCAAGTGCCGGTTACTTCTCATCCGACAACTACGGAGACCGCACGGTGAAGGAGACAAAAGGGACTGGTCCCTCCGGGAAGACATTCATGAAGATCGACCCCCGCGCCTCGCGGTTCCTCAAATTGGCCAAGGACCTCACGGACAAGCACTGGGCGGAGATTTTTGCAGCTGCCACGGCGTTTCTCAGCAACAGCCGCAAGCGGAAACGATCCCAATCAGCATCGTCATTCGCCAGTTCAGACCTTGTAGAGGATAGTATCCCCGAGTATTCATTTGTATCTGATTCGGATTGAATACAATTTTATTTTATGCCCCACTGAAGTACCGAAAGTTTACAAATAAGTGAATCAAAGTTGTACTACCAAAGTGAAAGATGGATACCAAAGTGCTGCCGAAAGATGTTTTTCAACTTTGGAAAGTGGTTCAGCAACTTTGAAAGTTCTTGTACCTTACTTTCCAAAGTTGTCGAACTCCGGCAACTTTCGCAACTTTACAACTTTGCAAAGTTGCGAAAGTTGCCCAAAGTTCAATCGAACGTTTTGCTGATAGTAGAAAGCACTCACCCATTGAAGAATGCGCTCTGACGACGTTGTTGACTTCAGGGCCTCGACCACGTTGATATATTCTCGTGCCTTGGAATGACACACATTCGTTTCCCATCAATGCGATCGGGAAACGAATGTGCGTCATTGAAGGCACGAAGAAGCATGGAAAAGGCACGACGATGACGCACAATCGTTTCCCGATCGCTTTGATGGGAAACGAATGTGCGTCATCCAAAGGCACTCGAAGCAACGAATCTCTGATGGGATCTCGGACTTTCCTCGCCTTGGAAATTTGCCTTTACAGTTGTTTGTGAGATCTTTAGGGCAGACCCTTCGCATCAGATGGCATCTTTTTTTTTCCCCGGCCCTTTCTTCCTTTCCTCCCACCTGGACATTGTGACGTTACCTTTCCTTTCATTGTGAGTGGGTCATGTCTTATGTGTGCTGTCAACTAAATATCCAAATTAGATGCCGAAGCTCTATCCGCCGGACAAAACGGAATACATGCGGGCCGATGGTCCCAAGGATAAACGTTTTGTTGTAGATAACGGCCGTCTTGTCTATGACAAACGCCGTGATGATCGCTTTCCTTATCTCTATGAAGTCTCTTCGCATCCGCTTGTGCACAATACGCAGGCGGTCAAGCGTATATTAGTTTACGTGATAGATACAGACCCTGCTGCGTTGAAAAAATTGGCGGACTGGGAGGATACTTTAGGTATTCCTTTGGGCCCAGATGCTTACATGGATGAGCATGGCAAGTTACCTCCAAGTTTATTTCGTATAATATATTCATGTTAAAATTTGATACCGAATATCACAGGTCTCCTTCATTTGGGGGATGGAACGGTGATCTACGCTCGGGCTCTAAACTGCCCACGGCATCCCAACACCGGCCTTCAGATGCCGGAGTATGATGTTGTCAATTGCTGGGGTTTTGCGGGGTAAGTTGAAATTGTATTATTGTCAACGTGATAAATAAAGCTCATGATAATGTTTTGTTAGCAAACGTCTTCTAAATCCATCATATGTTGAAGAATTATATGCTGTACAACAGATTATACTTGGGAAACCAGAAGAAATGACACGAAATCCACCAACCAAAAATGACAAAGGCGAGTACGTTGGAGGCGCAGCAATTGAACGCACTGGCGTCAAGGGTGTTAAGGGAACTCGTTGCTACTCGACAACGTGTACCCATCAACATAGCAGGGGCTTAGTAGGTCCAACGGCGCAAGGGAAAATTTACACAGATGAGGAGGAATCTGAATGGAGCGATGACCTCATTGGTCGGAAGCGATCTGTCAAAGTGAGTGACTATTTGGTTATATGTTGTTCTTTTTCGTTAAGTTTATACAAGATACACGGGCAAGTCGCTATGGAATCCTTGAAGATGTTTGCGCCAAAAAAATATATTGAGGCGGTCACCTTGAATGCCGAGGTTACGAATATGCCTCGGGTGGGCTCTGATGAAAATATTATAACACCCGCTCATCAAATTAATTTGGCTCCTGCGGTTAGGCAAGAAGAATGCGAAGGCAGGTCAAAACTTTTTCATAAAACCAATGATAACTAATCAACTTATCATGACACAGATGAAGGGTTACCTGGGATGGGTGGTTTTGGAATAGGACATACTGATAAGTGTGATTCTGGAGGCTCATGCACATGCATGGTGGCAAATTCACGGTTGCCAGAAGGATATGAACCCGGACGGTTTCATCTTCTAGGGTTGGGGTGCTATTTTGTGTTGGAGTCACTATTTGTGATGTGCTTCTCTGGTTTACGGAAACATGGTGGAACACCGCCAATTGCACCTCAGGGCATAGAACCTGCATATCATGCAATCCGCTGCATGACAGTCTGTTATCCACCAAAAGCTATGATATCTGCTGCGGGTGCATATGTATATCCTCTTGCGTCATTACCTGGACGAGCTCAGCAAGATGGTCTGTTGATGCTTGGGCCGGAGATCACTTCACAAATGTAAGGATTTTTATTACTATGAGAGACACATTAATAATAAATTTTTCAAAGGAATCCACAGCGGCCACCTACCTCGAACTATGCAAATTGGGCATCTGATGGTATCGTCATAATGGAAAGAAAATCTCTTTTCCGTTTTTTCGTGCGCTCGCTACTACAGCTTTGCGCTTTTCTGCTCGGTCAACTTTCTCGAACGCTTGGAGCTCGCATAGACTCCACAACATTTTTAAGTGCATTCTCATTCATTGATAACGATGGGAAGCGGTATTCCTTAGGCCCTTGGGTGGGTGCGGAGGATGGGATTGTCGTTGATACGCCTTGTGAAGATTCATCAACATGGGGTGTAGATGTGCCATCACGTGTCTATGATGATACACCCCTCAGCACTGAGGCCGATCCAAATGGTGAACAAACTGAACAATCAACTACACTACCTTGCGAACCATCCACATCATCACTGCAACCTATAACAGAAATTTCCGCATTGAACAGTCAGATTCTTGATGAACAAGTGGAACACAAGAGACATGGAAGATGGAACAGATGGTTTGACCATCTTGAAGATCAAAGCAGATTTATTCCATCTCAATATATGTTATTTGAGTTGGATGAGGATGGTCTCACGGCTTTTGACGCTCTTCGAAACCAGTTTTATAGAGGCCCGGGAAAGCCGTTACGAGGAAAGGGTAAAGGAGTAACAAAAGGTACGACTTTTCATATATAGATATATTGGTATTCTCATTTAATCTCTATATGTAAAGCCAATAAACGACTAAGAATAGAGTCTGGCAGTAATGCCAATAAACCCAAGAGACGTGAATATATTTTAAAATTATCAGTTATTTCCCACTCCTGATGAACTTTGAAGGCAAAGTTGATTTGGCCTATTTGCTCAACAGTTATGAAGCATTGTCGATGTATGGAAGCAGAATGGAACCAACAGGACAGGGTGAGAATACTTTAATTAAACATCAAAGGATGATCATGACCTCAATATCTAGGTTCCCAATCTAGCCAAGCCATCGTACTGGCAAGGCAACCAACTGCTAGACCCAACTTGATGGAAGTTGTCATTGTAAAACCACCCTGGCTTGATACTTTCAAGTACAATTCAATGGGAGATATTTTCGAGAGACAACAAAACCACAATCATGGTATGCAATTAAAATAATTAATATATAATATATAATAATCTATGATTTAAAGTGTTTGAGTGTAAATCATCAACTGAAACACCAGCTTTCAGTGCCATGGAATGCAGCGATGAAGATATCGAAGAAGCATGTCAAATAAATATTGACCATATAAATGATGACGTGGATATGCACGATGTTATTTATGACGATGGGGAGCCAGACCTACATAATCATCGGAATCCATTTGATTCCGATGATTCTTTCGATGACTATGACTTTTCAAAATACAAAAAGAGAGGACAATCACAATCATCGTCAGAAGGTGGAGATGAAGAAGAAGAAAGCCAAGCAGACTTCCATTCTCCTCATTCATCTGATGATGATGAAGAAGGAACAAACCAGGATTATGAATTTGAGCAAGGCGCACCTTTATCACCAATTGAGGAATATGATGATGGAGCTATCAACAATCGTTTACCACATTCGTCCAGTGATGATGGAGATGCCACATACAAAGATGATTACAATGGAGAAGCTGTGTGCAAAGTTGGAAGAACTCGAGCAAATAGATTTGATCAAAGAGAACCTTCGCCGCCAGCTGAGGAATCCAACGATGGATCTATTGACGGTGATGATGAAAATGACTTCTTGGACAAAGATTATGTACCAAACCCATTGGATAAAGATGATGAGGATTGTTTGGCTGAAATAAACTCGGACTCTGATGACTATGAAGATCAGGAGGATGATGACTTCTTGTACCGTGAGTTATTTTGGGGAAGTGTTAGAATTCCAGCTAACTACATACCCGTACAGATGATCACCTCGGCGATTTCTTTGGACATCTTAACCTGTCAGAGATATCAAAGGCGTTTCGAGATTTTCAGTTTGGAAAGCCTAGATATGACAAGCCATTGCAGGCAATTGCTTACAGCAAATCGACCATGGCCCTTGATGAGAATTTAATGAGGATTCTCAAACACCCGCACTCTATTGAAGCGGTGATTTCAATTCCTCAAATGTGGCGCAATGTCAACCAAGTCATTGAAATAATTGATGGCCATCATCTTGAAATACGTATTTCCCGTGCTCTTGCTATGTGGACAGTTTTAAGCTTGCACCAATGGGTTAAGAAGGCAATCGATAGTGCACAGTCAGGACAAGTAAAGGACACTTGGATCAACAAATTGATCCTGAAAATTGAGAACCTGCTGAACACCAAAGACCGCGCAGGAACACGGATTACTTTGAAATCTTCTGATTTTATATCTGGACTCCCGGAACATTCTACAAAATTCAAAAAGCCTGGATTCAGCTACAATGCCACAGTAGTTGCGGAGAGGACTCAAGATATTGCATATGATGTCATTAGAGCATGGCTCAACTACCCCAATGACAAAAGAGCGCAGATTCAATGTGAATTCTTGGAGACAATAGTCTCACGTACTCAAATATCGGTTCTTCTTTTGGATATTGTGTGGTCTGCATTTCGTGACCCATTCAATGTTATTCTCAACAAAACCGAAGGGCGACATATTTCAGGCGATCCCCTCAAACAATTCAAAGAACGTTATTACATCCATCCATTTGTCGACCCACACTCAAACGAGTATAAAGCATTAGAGGCCTTGACCAGCCAGATGGAAAATTTCTTTGCTAATGAAGGGAAGAATAAAATAACACCACTGACTCAACCACAAGTGAGTAAAGAATATGATCATAAATTGATGTGACTGACCACAAATATACAGATACACAACCAAATGGGAGATGTCCTACACGTTACAACCAATGCAGTAATGAGCCCACTGACGACATCTCCATCTGAAATTCGGATCAAACAAATGAAGGTTTACCTAGATTATCTACGGCATCTCATTCCACTTGTCAGAGATGGATTTTCCATGCATGTGAATTCTCCCGATCCAATATTACGCCGAGTTGCAAGGTCCCCTGATCGTCTACTACCCTTCAGACAGAAAGCCCCCACTGCCATCAAAGCTTCTCTGGTGATATATGGGAACGCAGATCGTCTTTGCACAAGGGTTGGTCTCTTCAATGCATTGATGTTTAGAGGGGTATTTTATGGATCGCCATTTGCAAAAGATGATCTTGTATGGTTTAACTCCCTTGATGAATGGCATGCATTCTACCAAACAAGCAGAAGAAAGGCAAAAGGATCAGACTTATCAAAACCAGCCACCAAGGAACGATACTTTGTAAACAAGTCGGCATATGGTCCCAGTCAAGCTGCCCGGTCAACTGAAGTGGCTAAAAGTTATTGGGAGGAATCACAGGGCTGGGAAACATTCATCAAGGCCAACCATAATGCAAAGGAGATGTTTGATTGGTTGGTTGGAAACAATCGGTTGGGAAAAAAGCGATTTCCCAATATAGGTCTACTGTGTGCGCTTCTGGTCCTTGGAGACTTTATAGAAGCAAAATGTCAATTTTTCCCTATGCCAACACCATCAATCTGGGGTGAACTGGTTCATGAGCTTAACAAAGGTGCCAGAAATGGTCTTGTTGAACTTGGTTTGCAAGGAAAAATCGTGACTCTAGAAGTAACATGCCATTCATTCCAGGAGTTGAGTCAATATCTGGCGGAAGAGCTGGATGACGAAGAAAAGTCCCTGATTGGATTCAATGTAATATCGCTTGAGCATGGTTTGTGCAAACGAGGCCGCATTTTACCACGGCAGCGTAGACAAAATGGAATATAGATTATCAAACAGTTTTACTTCTATGTATATAACAAAAACAACTAGTCCAACACCTGTTTTTCAAGCAAGTGTTGAGCGGTTAACAAATCAAACAAAGTTCATCACGGCGTCTGACTTGGGGAAGATAATGATTTGTTAACTCACTAGGCTGAGCCGATGGAATGGACATAAGCTTCAACTCTGCCAAGTTTTGGCAAACAAGGAGAGTGATGTTGAATACAATTGAACAGCGACCATTTATTGAGTCAATTGTTGGCAGAACATAAGAGAAGGTATAGGAATATATATGGTAGTTGAGTACCAGAGCGTGCGATAAAGTTGTATATGGGAGGGGGGACGTAAACAGGCCATAGTTGAATATCGCATAAGTCAAAAAAACCAAAATTACTCCATGGCTTCCATCATCCTAAAGACCGGATCATCATAAAAGAGACTGAGAAGTGTAGGGCTACCTGAAATGCAATGATGAGGACGAATATAACAGAAAGATGATGTGAGACTTGCGAAGTGTCTTCACTAGCTGCCAGTACGGCAACCCATAGCACGTTCATGGATAGAGATACGTCTTTAGGATTTGCCTTAGAGTTATATGACCCAACCGTATATCCAATGAGTGCAATGGAACCAGTGGGGACTTGACGACCAAACAATGGGAGGTCTTTTTCAACCGAACCCAGGCCAGAGGGCATTTTTATGTGTTTGGTTTGAGCATCCAAAATGGGGACTATAAGCCATCAGTTATCAGTGGAAACTAAAAGATTGGAGCGATTTTCTTACCCGAGTCACGCGGGCCTAACGATGAGTAGCGGTACTTACGATCTGGAGTATTGTTGGTCATAGTTGCACGGCTGCGAACAGTTGCAAATCCTTTGACAGGAGAAGAACCAGAGTTCACCTCTGGTAGAAATGATAAGAAGTAACGCATACAAGAAAGTCAAAAAATACTTACCTGCAGAACGTGTGGCAAAGGTTAGGGTGCTATCGGCAAGCTGTACCCTAACAGACTCTTTTCCATGAATCATGCAAAGGACGGCGACCATTCTCTCATACTCATATGCGATAAGCTTTGCGGTAATGAACTTGACCTCTTTATCTCCACCGTAACGTTGACGAGGTGAAGCTGTCTGGTCGTCGGCAATGATTCCAAGCGTTACGCACAAGGCAGGGGTCTTGCGATCTCGTATAAACACCATAGGCCCCCCTTTTGTTTGACCAGGTGTCTTCTTACTGACAAGAAGCGATGGATCGATACGAGAAAGGTTGATAACGTTCAGACTATAGTCTTTCTCAAAGGTCACCAGCCCTTTGACATACCTGCAAAACTAAGTATAAGTATACCGTTTATGAAAAAAGAAAAGAGGATATACTTCAAATCAATGTCGGGATGGACGGTTTTAATACTTGAGAAGAGTATCATCCCATTTCCATCCTCATCTTCTTTGTCGGCATCTCCTTTCCAGGAGATAAACTTCAGGCTGCTAGATTCAAAGTAAGATGTATGACGACACGTCAATGCCAATTGACTTGCCCAGGCAACTTGGTCAGCTTCTTGTAGGAACTTTCAAGAAGAGGGTCAACAAGATCTGGAGCAGATACGTGACACTTCGACAGCTTGGGATAACTAGGGTTGAGAATCAGAGTAAATTCAAGTAAAAGAAGTTGAAATAATTGCCTAGCGGGCGGATCGCGGTCAACATCTTCTAAAAAAACAACCTTTTTTTCACTGATATTGGGTCAACATGGATGAGAGAGAATAAACTCAAACAGAGCACAAACGTGATCTCATCGTCGGACATTGTGGCATCGTTATGGAAAACATCTTGAGCACCTTTCTTCTTCTTGTATGCTTGGACGCTCCCTTTCGCCTTCAACCTGGAACAAAATTGGAGACGATCACCTTCTACTTCATGAAATAAGTCAAGCGTACACTGAGGAATCAAAGACAAGTTGCCGGGTCTTATTTCTAAAGTGAAGGGTTTAATTGGCGTTCAAATTAAAGAAAAAAGGAAAGGTGACATACTTTTTTCCTGTGGGCGATTCGTTTCCAAGTTCACTAAACCCCATAACATATGTTTCCATAAGATAGCCTTGGAATGAATATACAAAAATACCTTGGATCGTCGCTGTCCACAGATTCCTGTTCTAGTTCGTCATCATCTTCGTTGATGGCAGCGCTAGAGTAATGATACAATCAACAATTCTATATAGGAGATCGAGCGGGCAAAGGTTGACATACACTTTACTCTTCTTAGCTGAAGCCGCCTTGCTGGGAGAGGTTGACTTGTTATTCACCGCTGGAGTGGTCTTGAGCTTAGTGGGAGAAGCTGCCTTAGTTGCCGCCTTCGCTGGGGTTGCTTTCAATGGCATGGTGGGAGGCTTCTTAGTCGCAGAGGGAGCTACACGGGGCTTCTTTGGACTGTCGTGAATGGGACTGGAGATTTTGAGGTGAGCCATAAATATAAGGAGATAATGTCATACTAACATACCTTGCATGAAAGGTCCATCCGAATCAGAAGCCGCGACCTCGTCAATGGGTCGCTTTTTCCCTCTGTGCACAACAGTTAGATTTTTGATAATATAGATGCAAATAACAAACTTTGCGGGGGTAGGCATAGCGGCAGGGGCCTTGCGAGGTCTCCCACATTTACGTGGGGTTGTTGGCACCTCTACAATCTCCAGCTCACTCATTCTAAACAGAAAGCGAAGTTAGATAAGGCAAATGTTGGAAGAAAAGAGCGACTGACTCTGCCTTCTCCTCCTCCTCCTCCTCATCATCATCATCCTCTCCACCACACTCATCCGATGAACTTGAATAGAGTTCGGTGGGTAAGTGACTGCAAACAAGAAAAGTGTGAAGAAACGTACTCTTCCTCCTGATAAGTCTCGTTCCCGTCGGACTCATCTGAGTCTTCGATAAACTCAGCAGAAATTGCAGCCTTCTTGCGACGAGTGGAAACCATGATTTTTGTCGAAGCGAAGATTGAAAAGCAGAAGTGAGAAACAATCCTTTTTTTATAGGACACAAAATTTAATTTACACAAAAACGATAGAACTGAAACGGAGAGGGGAATCAAGGAGGTTGGACCTGGAAACCCTGTATTTCGTTGAAAATGCTAGAGGTGTTAGACCCTGCAATGAGAGAATTCCTGAGGGAAGTGTAGAATCTGCAGTTGATTGAGCCTAAAACGGTTTCAGACATCAAAAGGGGTGTAAAAAAAACAAGGGTAGCAGATGAATTGCACCCCATTTGTACCCCACAAGTGCCTGCGATGATAGCGCTCGCAGCATTTCGTTATGAACACAACTTTGTTAACTTTGCACAAGCCCATTCAATTAAAATACTCATAAACAAAGAAGAGCATGCCATCTATGATACATAATTGGTGGGAACACTGGACACCACCCTCGGGAGCCTAATGCCATTACCAGCACATTTACAACCACCAAGACACCATGAAATGAGCATTGGGGTAACGACACTCCAGCGGATTGGATTTTCTGCCACTTCAGGCATGACGGGAGTGACGGTCATGGTTGGTGACAAAGTAGGAAGGGGCGAAAATGGTCTGAACAGAAAGAAGGCGCATCTGGGATCAGCAGAAGTTCGCAGGGTAAAGCTGCAAGACCGATCCTCGCCACAGATGTGGTCCTTGATGGACGTTAACTCCCGAACAAAGGTAACACCGACTCTCGCCTTATACTTTTTGACAAGAAGCTCCAACAACTCCCGAGGCAATGCTGGAACTGGTACCGAAATACCGAAGTTAGCAAGGATGGTATATGCCTCACTGTGAGGCAAAACTGATCTGCTTCTAACAGCATTATAGATTTTGGTGGTGGGTAGGGATAAACCAGATGGTAGCAAGCTGATTCTCCTGGGTGTCAGATCAGCGTATGCTGTGAAAATTCCTCGGCCAGTTATAGCGTTCATAGTAATGGATGTGCCAGAATGGAATAGAGCCTCCAAGGGGGATGCGGACTTGGTTGCGATGACATTGACACGAATGAGGGGATGGAAATTGGAGGTGTACCATTCAACGTGAGCGATAGCGGGATTCAGATGGTAGACTGGCGAGTGACCACCAACAGATTTGAAACCTGATAAAATACGCCGGGTGAAGGTATCTGCATGAGCTTCAGGTACATAAAGGTCGAGATCGTATGGAGCAAAACCATCGACATTGGCAAGCACGGCAAGAAGGGCGACAGACCCTCCAATGAATGCACCTGAAACTTCCATGCCTTCCAGAAGCTTGTGCGGATTGATGGAAAATGAGGTCAGAATGCGCTCAATTCGTGCCATAGTATATGCATTGACTGCATGACAGAAATAACGGCAGCACTTCGACAACCGGAGCAATGCAGGAAGGGCCAAGTTGTCATAAATAATCTTCTGGATATCTTGCGGCAGATGAAGAGGAATGTTCGTGGGATACTCATAAGCCGCATTTTGGGGAACTATGATCGGTCAGAACAATAACAAGCCACAATGACAAGTGCAACATACTAGTTTTCAAACGATAAACATCTGCCAACTCACGGACATGAGACTGGATTTCATGGAAGCGCTCGGGTTCCATCTGACCGATCTCTAGGAGTTTCTCAGACGTGATTTGCCAGAGACCCAACTTTGGATCCGTTATCATTGCTTCAGATGAAGAATGCGACTCTCGGCCTCTCGCGACTGCATTGCTGAAAAGTGTACAAAGGGCAGGCCCATCTCGGAACAAGGGCATGGACGCTATGTGATAACAAGAATTCAACATCTAATGGTTGATGAAGGGGCAAATCGACATACCCAACACGGTTGGTGAACCATGATCAGATACAGAAGGCGAGGAGATGGTTGGAGAGGACGTCTGTGATTCAAGTTCTGGGGAGATAATCCTATGTGAGTCCAATACCCGATTCGACAAAAAGTTCAACCAATACCTCTGAAGGATGGTCGATTCAAAGGGACAGCTGGCAGTCTGGTCTCCGTGTACAGTCCTAAGTGCATCACATCAAAAATATGGAAGAAATTCGAAATGGAATGCAAACCTGACTGTTGATAACGAAGGCTCATGGTGAAGCGACAAAGTAGAACGTGAACTTTGATAGTTGATATGAACGACGGCAGAAAAGAACGGTCAGTCTGTCCTTCCCCGACTGAACAATTTTACTCGCTATTTCCTAATATTTGGTGCAGAAGCAATCTATCAAGGGATTTTTTTTTTCAATGCCGCCGTGGCGACAATGCTCAACTTGGATTCAACATACCAAACACCCTGATGTCAATTGAGAAGGACAACCCTGCTTAAAGGAAACTGATGCCACAAGGGTAGCTGCATTAGACGTTCCTAAGACTAGTTAAGGGTTTCGAACCAACTTCAACTACATAACAGATATGGAACCAGAGGAGTGTGAAGAAGGTAGGTATACGCTGCATAATTTATCAGGTAAAAGTGCAGTATTCCATAATAATGTGGTCCAAGCTAATTACCTATCCTGGGGCAGCATCTTCATGTTCTGACAGGGACAGCGTCTCCATGTTCCAACAGGGTTCAATGACAGCTGTGAGGAAAGATCGAGAAGCAAAATAACGCCACCGGGGCAACGATGCTCAACTTGGATTCAACATACCAAACGCCCTGATGTCAATTCTGAAGGACAACCCTGCTTCAAGGAAACTGACGCCACAAGGGCAGCCGCATTAGACATTCCTAGGACTAGTTAAGGGTTTCAAACCAACTTCAACTAACAGATATAGAACCGGAGGAGTGTGAAGAAGGTAGGTATATGCTGCATAATTTATCAGGTAAAAGTGCTATATTCCATAATAATGTGGTCCAAGCTAATTACCTACTCTGGGGCAGCATCTTCATGTTCTGACAGCGACAGCGTCTCCATGTTCCAACAGGGTTCAAATGATGGCTGTGAGGAAAGATCGACAAATAAAACAACGCCACAGGGAAATTCAAAAAAATGCCGGAAAATATTATAGCCAGAAAATCCGACACTATCGCACCCTCTATTGCATTGCACTGTCAGAGCTCATCGACTACTACAGATCTGTCGGTAAGTTTGCCGAAATTGTCGGAGAGGATTGTACTCACCCCAACTTCAGTAGCCGAAGCGCTTTACAAGTTGCATTGCATCGTTCACCATGATGGATTCATTTTACAACAAGATAGAAGCACGCAAGTACCCTCCTAAACTGGACATGTAGAATCGCTAATTTTATATAACAGGTGATCTACTTGAGGCTGTCATCGATGCTAGAACAACCAAGGGCCCAGGAGTTGTACAACTGGCATATTTCAATACGGTGAGCAATAATATAGCATTATAGATGACTCAAGATGTACTGAAATAACAGGAGAATGGAATGTCAGAGTTCTGCTCGGTAGAAGAGGTAGAAAGACCAAGATGCTTGAAGCTCACAAAGACCAACATCGATGACAACAACCGAGAAGAAGTCGTACTGCGCATTCAGGGTATCATTTGTGGTTCAAGCCTCCCACCGGTCAAACAGCCGTTTAAAATGTAAGCATATCCTAAGCTCAGATGCCCAAACAAGTTTAAGCCTCATAACATAGTGAGCCAAAGCAGCGAAGATATATCAAGCAATCGTTAGCCTTGACAGGACTTGGGGCGATGAAATTTTCTGCCATGATTGAAAACATTTATGACATACAGCATGTTTTTGAGAGATCGCTACCCCACAACACCATGGAAGAGTGGGTTCCCAGTTACTACGAAACATTTGAAGCGTTGGATATGGGCAACCGCTATTTCACTGACCGGCGTGACATAAACGGTGACACTCCTATTTCCTTCGGCACTGAAATCGACCCCGACAATATACTTACCGATGCATTGTCCAACGAATTCGTTCACCTCCAAGAAAACAAGGTTGAATACTATGAAGCGCAACAAGGATCCGATAGTGTTATACGGTAAGTAATAGAGTTATAAAACAATTATACATTCAACCAATAGATTGCAGATACTACAAAATCAACCCAACGAAGATACGAACAGGAGACATTGTGGAAGCGCAGGTATCATTTGTTGCCATACCGCTTAAGCAGAAAAAATACAAGGTACTGGTGGTGCTTCGAGCCATCACTCTATTAGATTGCAGTCCACTACGAGTAAGCCTGCCTCCCCAGATTATCCTATGCAAAACAACACTTATGAGAAACAGAACGCAAGTATTGCGCGTCGCATGAGCCGAGGCGCTGAACCGCGTCGAGCCAGCCAGTCTCTAAAGCGGAAGATTGGATACGAAGAGGATGAGGTGCATAACACCAGGGAGAAGTTGAGCAGGATGCATCTGGACTGAAATAGGGCGATAATAACTTACGCAGTGCATTGTTGATATGATGATCCATGTTTTGATGAACAGCCTGCAGCCAATTTGCGTGATTTCAAACCTTGCATGCTGCTGATAAACAAGCATCAATAACATTGGAATCAAGCTCACACGTGGCATCTGTAATTGGAGAAATTTCCCCAAGCTTTGATGGCATATACCCCACCACCCAAAACGATGACGCACATTCACTTCCCGATCACGTTGATGGGAAGTGAATGTGCGTCATCAGAAGGCACAAGAAGCAAGGAAAGGCACAAACAATGATGTACATTCACTTCCCGATCACATTGATCGGAAGTGAATGTGCGTCATTTCAAGGCACGAGAGGCATTTAAAAAATCTGATGTACAACTATAAATATTTGTGATCAATGTCATTGCCAAACAACAATATGTGACAATAGGAACCGCTGAAACCTTCTGCAAGGTTTTGGCAATGTACCGTCATTCGTTTACCTTCTTCTTGGGGTTCTTTGGATATCACATTCATGCTCACATCTGATACCACCCATAACACACTTGACATAGGAACACGCAAAATGCCTTGTCAACTTGATCGGCCCACAGGTCGCATTGTTGCGTATTTGGTCGGTGGGTCAAAGTTCATATCCCATGGGTGCCAGATGAAATGATTACAAAAGCATTTAGTATATATAATGAAGGAAGAATCAGTCATGGGTAATGAGGACCATCACCGTCCTTGTTGATGTTGATATAGATGCCCATTCAAAACGATATGACTTGTGTCGGCTATATAATGTGCCTTTAACCGGTGATGACCATTTTGAGCAAGAATCCGCGCCATCACCAGACAGTTCACACGGTCAGTAATACATTGTAGTGTTGACTACAAAAAACGCTAACAGAAGACTACAAACCCTGGACAAAGTCTTCAAAATCCCAGACCGTGGGAAGCCATCAATTTTCGTGGGAGAAAGGCTAAATTCTGCGTTAGAACGCTGAAAAAATCCTTGAGATACAGGGTAATAAACGAGTCTCTTCGTAAACTCAGAGGACTCGTAAAATGTGTTGTACGTCGTAAATGTTTTCAATCACGGTGGAAAATTTGGTTCCCCCGAGTCCCGTCAAAGCTAATGATTGCTTCATATATCTTCGCTGCTTTGGCTCTCTGTATTATAAGGCTTTAGCTTGTTTACACATCAGAATTAAGGAAATGCTTACATTTTAAATGGTCGTTTCACAGGTGGAAGACTTGCATTGCAAACAATACCCTGTATGCGTAGTACAACTTCTTCTTGGCTGTTGTCCTCAATGTTGGTCTTTGTAAGCTTCCAACATCTTGGTTTGTCCACCTCCGCTACCGAGCAGAAATCTGACATTCCATTGACCTGTTATGGGGGTGTGAGTATCTGTTAATCTATAATGCTATACCACTGCTCACCATATTAAAGTATGCCAGTTGTACAACCTTTGCACCCTTCGTCGTCCTTGCATCTATGACGGCCTCAAGCAGATCACCTGGTATATAAAATTAGTGACTCTACACATCCACTTTAAGAGGGTACTTACGTGCTTCTATCTTGTTGTAAAATGAATCCATTGTAGTGAACAGTGACCTGTAAAGTGTTCCAACCACAGAAGGTGGGGTGGGTTCGATTCTCTTGGAGTTTTTGGTGGACTTACTGACAGATCTGCAGAAGTTGATGAGCCCTGACAATATATGGTGCGATAGCGTCGGATTACTTGGCTAGAAATTTTTCCGATGCATTTTGAATCCCTGTGGCGTTGTTTAGCTCAATATAATAATGACTAGAGGGTTTCAGAAATTACCAACCCATAGATTGTTGGAGTTTTTGGTAGACTTACCAACAGATCTGCAGAAGTTGATGAGCCCTGACAATATATAGTGCGATAGTGTCGGATTACTTGGCTAGAAAATTTTCCAATACATTTTTAATCCCTGTGGCGTTGTTTAGCTCAATATAATACTGACTAGAGGGTTTCAGAAATTATCAACCCATAGATTGTTTGTTCCTCTCCATTGTTGTTGAACCCTGTTTGAAAATGAAAACATTCCTGGTCATTAGTTAGCTTGTGTGATAACTTCATGAAAAACTGGGCTTTTACCTGTGCTGTCCTAATGCTGTATGCCTACCTTATTTGGCCATGCAGTTCTATATACAATGGTTTCTGAAAACCCTAACTGGTTTGGGGAACATCTGATGCCGCTAGTATACATTTGTGGCGTATATTGGTATATGCATATTCTGTCAGTTACCCGTTTGCAGGGTTGTTATCTGGAACTGGGATCAGGGTAGATGTTTAGTATTCCATCGAACATCGTCACTGCCGCAGTGTTGAACAAATGTCCCTTGATAAATTGCTTTTGCTCCAAATAATAGAAAATAGTCAATGAGTGAATTTGTCTGGCGTAGGACTTAGCGTTTTTTTCCCCATCGTGCATCTCAACCATCAACTTCACTTTCTGCTTCTTTGGTATCGCCATGAACTTTCGTTATCATCACTCAGGTCTGTGTTATTCTTTTCATTCGCTCTTTCTGCCATGTTCCTAAAATAATGAACTTAGGCCTGTATGGGGAATCCAGACAGCCGGCCTTTCCTTTGGATCGACCTTCATTTACAGGTATTGGTCGGATATTCCTCATATCAAGTAGTTCGCTCTTTTCTTCCAACATTTGCCTTATCTAACTTCGCTTTCTGTTTAGAATGAGTGAGCCGGAGATTGTAGAGGTGCCAACAACCCCACGTAAACGTGGGAGACCTCGCAAGGCCCCTGCCGCTATGCCTACCCCCGCGAAGTTTGTTATTTGCACTTGTGCAAGAGGGCCATTGCAAGCATGGCAGATACGAGTCCTTTTTATATTCAGGAAGCTACAATGCAGCACCACAACATTCACATTTTTGATTATTCAGGAAACTAGTCATGTGACCACCTCCTGAAAGCCCATCAGATTTATACCCATTAACTATATATATATAGTATTGCTATTTTACATTGGATAAAGTGTATATTTCCATTTACCTACAGAGAGTACCTACATATACATTGAAAGCAACAACCAGTATTATCCTCCATTTTTCTCTAAATTTTTCCAGTCTTTTATAGTTAATTTCAAGTAGATTACTACATATGGAAAGTTCTCCTGGACTCTGACCATGCTCCCCAATATTGCACAAGCAGTAACATTCCCTCAATTTCTTATTGCTATTTTTAACTCAAAAAGTGCAAATAACCTCAGTTGAAAATATGCTATGTAACATTGTCATCAATAGTGCACATTGCCCCCCATTTGTTTCTGATTTGTCTTCTATTTTTATTGCTATATTTCCTTTCAGGAAATGTTCATTAGACCAATGGACCAGAAGTCAAGTAGTGATTTGTGGTTGGTGGCAGATGTCTCATCTACAATGAACACTGGAATGAATGCTTCCACTACCTATACAAAGTTGCCACCCATCCCCTGGTGCATAACACCATTGACATCAAATGCATCCTCATGTACATGGTAGACATGATCCTGCAGCATTAAAATGCAAAGCTGCATGGGAAGACACCACAATGGCTCAACATGTAAGCAAATGCAA